GTGCTTTCATCTGACTTTAGAAACCAGGATGATTAGACCAAACAAACAAGAAAATCAGGCTATGGAAAAGTATAACTAGCTGTAATCTCCAAAGAAGCAGCCGCCATTTGGATTGTTTTCCACATCATTAATCACCAGGCTAACAAAGAAATAGGTTTTTGTTGACTCTACTGCCATGAATACGAGAAAAGAAACAGCAGATAAGATCTTTTTTTTGCATTCCAAACACAGAGATACCGTGATACACGGTAATAGACAAGTTAACTTCTTCTAGTACTATAAATATGCATTAATAAAAGTTTATAAGTTGAGTTCTATGCTGCATTTTTACAAGTTTGCTCTTTAGATTTCCCAGAAATCTCATGTTTCTCTTCCATTGTGTCCTTTATTGTCTTGGATTTTCTGTTTTCCAAGATACTTGGACAGATGCATTGGCTTCCTCTGTCATGAGGCATTGTACTTGTGATAGAGATGGGATCTCAAGCATTTTAATTAAGCCAGTTACCTAATCTATGGAGCTTCTGACATCAGCCTTCACCTCAGGCTTCTCAGGAATACCATAGCACCTGAATATCAGCAGGCAGCTGTTTCCCTCCCCCATCACATATTTGTACATATACACACACAGTTCGTGATCTGGAGTCCTAAAATAGAGATTTTAAAACTTTCTATAACCTTGCAGGCTTACATCAAGTATTGGTTTAAGACATTATCCATCTGCGGTCTTAGTATGAATAAAAAAAAATCTTTATTTTGTTCCTCTGTCCAGAAATAAGTTGTTAAGCTTTCAAATAAAATCAACCAGAAAAGTGGTTTCTCTGTACCTCCAAGTTGCAAATTAATCAGCTGTCCTTTGATGCTCTTTTGAAACAGTTCCCCACTGCTGTTAAATATTTGATTAGATCATATTTTCTTGGCTTGACTAGTTTTCTTAATATTTTTCAAATTTTTACTATCCATAAAGTTCTTCCAATAAAAGCAACATTAGAGCTCCAACATCTTGTAGATCTTTATTGCTTTGCCTTCTAGCAGCAAGCAATAAGAAATCAGTCAACAATTAAATACTTGCATCTTCTGCGGCTCCTGTCTTTGATACCAAACCAGATAGGCTTAGGAAGAGAATCTGAGGCTCAAGGGCAAAGATAGATGTCAACAAAGATGGTCTTAAATGTATTGTTATTTGTCCCTATTCTCAAACTACCCCAAAAAGGCAGCACCAGCAGATCACACACCAGTAAACAAAACAGTGATGAGTAACACTGAAAAATAATCACAAAAATTGGACATAATCGCCACACTTCATCATGCAAGCCAGTACATGGCCAGTTCATCTGAGCTATAAATTCATCTGAGCTATAAATAGAAAAAATAAGAAAAAAGACAGTTTGGAAAATACTATGGTTTGAATTATGTTTACAGTCCTGTTTTCAACTAAAGCATTAGTACCAATTTAGAAGCAATTTACTTTCCTGAAAAGCAGAGGCAATGATTTCTACACACACGGAGTAAGTCTACATTGTTATGTCTATATGGTGCTGTTACTAACAGATGTTAGCGTGAACATATTCCAGTACCACTCAAAGAAAATAACTTGATGACAAGTTAGTTAAGAAGTTGGGTCTACCTTGCGGAGCATGTTCAATTTGCTGCTATTAACAGGAGGGCCTGGGAGGAAAGGCTACAATAACATTTTCAAAAGAAATTTGTCCTTACACAGCAGTATAGATAATCAGCCATATATACTGAGTTGTACTGGAAAGAGACAAAAAATAAATCTGATTTAAGAATATTAATATGGAATATTTTGCTAAACCTGTTTTTTTTTCCCCCCAATTTGCAAGACAGTGCAGGGTGTAATCACTGCAGTTACAGCTCAGTTGCTTCCAGCTCCAGCTCTGGTATGTATCCCAAGAGACAAGACAGTCTTTTTTCCTGAGGAAGGGAGGCATTTTATTATATGAGTTCCTGGCTTTGAGTAGAAATATAATCTCACCAACAGAGAATGAAAGCAACTGAACTACAACTTTAAGTCATCAAAGACATTCTAGTTTTAATTTGGATTAGAGTTGAGGGAGGCTAGGGGTTTTTTGTTGTTTTTAAATTTTGCATTCTATGATGAGAAGACTGGCTCAAGAGGATGAGAAAAGGGTGATGAGCGTTTTTAACTGGACTTCAGCAAGCCTTTCACACAGTCTCCCTGCAATCTCCTTACAAGAGGGGAGAGAGGGGAAAAAAAGGAAGAAAAAAGAGAATTTCAAAATTACAAGAAGGCAGGGGGAAACCGACTGGACTGCCAGGCTTAAAAGGTGGTGATCAGTGATATGAAATCCATTCCTCAGGAGGTTAAGTGGGTTCCTAACTCGTTTCCTTAGAGGCAGACACTGAAGCTCATACTGCTCCTTCTCTTTATTCATAAGCTGGACAATAGGATAAATGCAATCTCAGCACGAAGGCCGACACCACCAGTTTTGGGGAGCAGCTGTTACACTGGAGGACAGAGGGACTGTGGCAGCCTGCAGAACAGAGCTCATGAAGTTGGAAAGCCGGTGTAGAGCCCTGTATCCGAGACGAAACAACCTCGTGCAACAGGACCAGTTTGGTGCTCATGTAGCCGGAAAGCAGCTCTGCAAAAGAAGATCCTCCCGGAGTAGCTGAAAGTGAACCAGCAGCATGTCCCTTTGCTGCTGGGGCAGGTCAGAGGACTGATTCCCTTCTATGGGATGCTTGTGAGATTGCATCTCAAGCGCTGCATCCAGTTACGGGCTCCCCAAATGAGAAAAGGCCCTAATGTAGTGGCCTGAGCCCAGCAGAGGGCCACCAAGACCAGTGGCTGTGTGAGGAGAGATGGAAGGAGACGGGATTTTGAGCTCCAAGAAAAAGCAGCTCAAAAGGATCTTCTTGCCATCTACAACTACCTCATAAGAACATACAGGGAATACGGAGGCAGACTTTCTAGGGGCATACAACAACAGGTCAATAATCCAAAGGTAGATTCCAACTGGAGAGGAAAATTTCTTTTTTTACTCTAAGAACAGGAGGACTAAAGAGTTGTGGGATTGCCACTCTTTCAACAGCAGAAATACTCAGAGTTGCTCTGCATAAGGCACTGAGCAAGCTGTTCTAGATGATCATGCTTTAAGTTTGGGCTTAGAGGCAAAATCACCTTCAGAGGTCACTACTAGCCTAAATCTTTCTCAGATTCTACAACACATGCACTCCGACCAAAGTCACTGCACTCTAAAATACACTTTCCATTTTCATGAGTGTGTAGAGGCAGAGCATGGTGAAGAGCTGAGGCCAGAAATCCAACCTTCTGTCAAAAAAAGCTTCAGTAAAATATATTTTAACAGACCTCTAGACTAATTTTAAATTCAAGGCCCTTCTAGGTAGGGTTTTTTTTTTTCTGTAAACCTTTAGTAGAAGGAACTGCCACAATAGCGATGAAAATGGATATCCTCCAGAGATACCTATTTCTATACCAGGCATTAACCTTCAGAAAACAAAAACAGCATTCCTCTAATCTTTTTTTGGACCATCACCTGGGCAACAGTCATGTAAACCCATCTTAGAACCACCTGTTCTAAAAAATAAACTGCATACAGCCAAAGATATAAAAACACACTAGTACACAGGGCAGGAAATGAAATAACTGAAACAGCAGTAGTAGAACTCAGCCAAGAGGTTTGTACAACACAAAGTCAATATCTTTTGACTAACCAAAGCAAGAAAGAATGAATTTAATTTTCAGTTACAACTGTTCCACATTGCTGATTCCGACTGAGTTAAATGGTGCCTGCGCCCAGTTCTTCTCTAAGTCAGTTTATTACTCAGGTTCATACTTACCTCATTTATGACTTTATTAGGAATAATTGGGGAGTTAATAGGAGAAATATTTCACCCTTCCAGAGGGGGGAAAAAAGAACACACAGGATACAAGTTGATCAGCTGCATGAAAATTATCAGATTGTGCGCTTGCAAGTAACAGCACTAGGCTAGGTGGCATGATCCAAGAATACAGGTTTGGAAGGACTTGGAAATATTTCCTTAATGCATGAAACATTTTGATACACTCAGTTCTGTCACAAAGTCTTTAACCTCTCCTTTGATGAGCAGTAAAACTCTGGCCTGCCCAATACAAGAGGAAACTTTCAAGTTATGTCAGTAATTGTCTCCTAGAAGAGGCTGCTACTCACTGAAGGGGCAGTGCTGCGAGGCTTCAGTGTATTACCAAGTTCCAGCTGATGAAGGCGGTACTCCTATACCCATTTCTAAAGCTATATGGGAAATTTTCCAAAAATTAAAAATAAAAACCTGCTCTCACAGCTGGCAAAGCAGAAAAATCAAGCTGTTGTGGCTATACAGTTGCCAAAAAGCAAGGAGAGAGATCTGGAGACACTCGGAGTTACTGGAGAGCTATCATAGAAAGCCAGGACCACAAGCATGTCTGTTATTGAGATCAGAATTCCCAAGAGCTCCCAATAAGAAGCGGATCTTTGTTTCTGAAATGCACACCACTTGTTTTCAATTACAGCCACCTTCATCTTTTGCAAACATTCTTCCATGATGAGACCTTCTACCTGATAGCATCCATCCTCAGCCCAGGGCTATGACAAACTTTGCTGGCACTATGTGCCTGTGTGTGTTCTAAGCTAAAGCTATTTCAGGAAATTCATCTCTCTCCCCAGCACTCTGTTTCCCCCAAGGAAAAAGGAAAAAAAAATCTATGAGAAAAAATAAGTGAATTTCTTACTTCACTGCTGTATCATAGTAGCATCATGGTAAAACAGGACATTTTCCCAACCTGAGGGGATGCGTTTTATAAGTAACGATCAAGAAAGCCACTTAAATCCGAGAGTTAAAACAAAACGCTCTTTAAAAAAAAAAGTGTAAATTATCTGTGTAAATTTCCCATTTCAGTTGGTGTTTGAGGACACTCCCAAGGAACAGTATTTTACAGACCCAGCATTTGGGGCTTCTTCGAAAGCCAAGCAAATACTTACGGCGGCTGCATTTGCTGAGGAACCCCAAGGGGAGGCTTCTGCTTGATGGTGAACGCCATCTGTGCCACGGGGCCGGCCTTGGGGGGCACCTGCACCTTGCGGGAGAAGCTCTGCTGGGCAGCCTGCTGCGGGATGGGCCACGGCGGAAGGCCGGGGCTCCGGCCGCCGCCGGCGGACGTGTCCGGCGCGACCGTGTCCTCGCAGGAATTGCCTTGCGTTCCCGGCTTGCACACGCAGAGCTGAGGGCGCAGGCACATGCCTCCGTTCTGGCACGGCGGCGCGCAGTTAGCTACGGAAAGACAGGGAACAGAAGGCACTGGTGAAAAGGCAGCTTGGAAACTACAAGCCCTCCCCACAGCACAACAGAGGTGAACGGCTACTGAACAGCGGGAGCAGGTAACATGGCTAGGCTGCACAGAAGGTGGTATGTAAGTTGGTATAGCTTTTATTGCTCTCCTATATAAGGCAGGCACAACATTCCTATACCTTAGAAAAGTGAAATGCTGGTGAGCTTAAAAAAAAAAAAAAAAAGCAGGAAATGAGTAAGAAAGGCAAGTATTATTTTATATCTTCCGGTAACTGGCCTTTTCCACTGCCCTTCCCTGCTTCTTCCTTCCCCACATTTAACACCCAAGTTGCACACTGATGAAGTGAGATCATGCAGAATGTATAACTTTATCGGCAGTCCAAGGTTTGGATAATTTTATGACTATTTAAAAATCACAAATCCCCTGTAGGTAGCTTGAGACACCCATTAGAGTATGGATGACCAAAATGATGCCGAGGCATGAAGCAATGCAACCTTTCCCTCTCTAAAGCAGAGACAAAATTCCCTCCAGCATCACCACTGTAATTACATAAAAAGGCCAAGCACAAACCATGCCTATCAAGAAATAACTACGCCTAGAAGAAGCATTCTTCAAAGAGACAAAATAGATGTCTGATTAGCCTGAACTAGTAGCTATATATTCCCTGCATCATCAGTAAGGAGGGATAAGTTTCTCCAAAACACAACTCTTCCCACCCCTGTCCAGCATCTGACTTCAGATAGGATTAATTACACTCTGCTTGTGTTGCTCCTTCCTCTGACTTCAGGGGAATTTAGGGCAATTAGTGTAGACTCAACACCCTGGCTGTAGGGCTAGTTAAACAGGGAGCAATTCCATTTTGAATGAGCTCTAAAAGAGAGATAAGTCCCATTAAAAAGAGATTCTGATCATGTGAAATTGTTATCGGAATGTATACACAGCACTGAAAAGCTATGCTTTATTTGAGAGTTTACTTTGGGTGCTTAACATTACAGTGCTAATGTAACGAATGTTAAGCTAACACAAAAATGGTAAAACAAATAACTTTCCTTATTCGGAAGATATAATTCAACAGTAAAACGCATCTTGAATTAAAACAACTATCAAAAAAAACTTCTTTGCATCTGTTCCAAATAAAGTGAAGCAAGTTGAACACTTGTCACCTCAGCCAAGGTGCTATACCTACGCATGCACATATACATGAGAAACTGTGTAGTACGGACTGCATTAGCTCGAGTGGTGAGCTGGTAACACCCAATCGATGCAGATGCACGACACTGACTGCCATGAACTTGCACTTCATAGCGGGTTCTTCTCAAACACAGCTCTCCATGTGCGGTTCAGCAATACATCTGCTCTTGAAAGCTACTTAACTGACTGGCTTCATTGTATAGTGTACATAGTGTATTCCGTATTTTCCTGAAATCAAAGAACAATCATTTGCTTATTTATATTCCTGCTTCTTTCAGAGAAGATGTTTTGTCTTTGACTGTCAGAAGGCTGGAGGGGATTTTCGCAGCAACCTTGTGTAGGGATTTAAAAGCATGTTACATAGGGTGACGCTCTCATATTTTGCCTTTAAGAACTAGATTTTTGCTAGGAACAATAACTCCCATGTACACAACCAACAGAAAAGAACCATATGTTTGAAAAATGTATTCTCAATTTCAAGCAGCTTTCAATGACTGAAAATGTAGTAAAGTCTATTGTGAGCTACAAGTTTATATCAATTGCTGAAGAAGTCCTCAAGACCAGAGACGCCCGGCTGTCCCCCCAGCTTTACAATGCCTCAGAATCCTGATGAAATTACGACAAATAGGGCTGAGGACACTTCTGAATTTGGAACTGAGTGATTGTTGAACAAGACAACTGGGATCCTCGTGTAATTTTCCTTATTCTAACCTATCATTATTTACTAAATGATTTTCAGAACACCCAAGAAACTAAGAGTACAGGTCCCTTTGAAAGATTTTCTTTTAAAAGACAGAAGAAAGCACACATTTAAACCTGTCTTTTCAAAATCCTTTTAAATACACTTCTTTATAAAGGGATCGCTTATATTTCAAGTTATATGAACTAAAGACCAACCAGGCTTTCCCACCTCCCCACAAGAGTTCTCATTTCAGCACTACTCTCAAATGAAATAAAAATCTGGCCATCACTGAAGCCACACACACTTCACAAGGTTTCATTACTGCTGGCTAAGTGGACCCTGTCCTACTCATAGGCTCTAGCATGTATGTGTGTGTATATATATGTGTATGTATTATATATATAAAATTTGCAGTGATTAGAGTGAAACAGTTTGGGGATAGGCACTTTAGAAAAAACATAAAAACTCCTTAAAATGTTAAGTACCATTTTTTGTAACTAAATGAAACATCCACGTTCAAAAGAGTTCTTTAAATTTATGGGCATGCATCTATAACTTTCACACTAAGAGGTTAATGTGTGTGTGGGGGGGTGTATATACACTTGTATATACACACACATATATTTATATACACACACACATCCACCCAAAAAAAGGTAAGTCAACATAACAAAGCATCCAGCCCGTTCAGACATCAAAGCCTTAACTCTCAGAAGTGAACTAATAATTCACACATGCACAAAAAATACTGGAAAAAAAAACCCTGCAAGTCTGTCTGTGTGGTTAGGAAATAAAGCTGTGCTTAGGAAAACTTAAGCTTTCACTAAAACAAAGCTAATAAGGTTGCAATTATTTTAAAACTAGGAGCTGAAATATAATCTGTTTTTAAATGTAGTTATCTTTTTCACCCAAACAAGATTCTGGCTTCACTGACAGCAATGTAAACCCAAAGAGTTTCTCTAATTTATATATAAAACATATGAAGCTTTGTAGGACAAACCACATTACTCTAACATCTGGCCATATAACAAAACAAGCGTTATTATGTCCAACAAATGTGTTAGGGAAGAGATTTGAGACAAACTGCGTCTTCTCCGCGATTAGTGACAGCAGTGAAAAGCAGATTTATTAGATCTTCACAACAATCCACCCTTTAATCAAAGTTCTTCATTAACACTGCATAATAAAAGAACACAAAATAAGATACAAGGTCACATTTTGAGGGAAGAATCGAAATGAACTCTTCCTAATTCACATAAGGCAGCAGTTTATTTTTGAAAACATTTAAGACAACTGCAACATGCCAAGTGTATGACCTAATTACTTTGTTTGAAGACAACAATAATGGCACATCTAATTCAAACACCATTATTTTCCACAAAGCTAAGCTTCCAAAATCTGCAGTCTGGAAGTATTAAGTTGAAAAAAGAAAAATGAGGAGTGGGCCAGCATGCTCGTGTTAACAGAAATGCCGATTAACAGCAAGAATTTCCACTTCGAACTGGTATTCGAGAAGGGCTACCTCAGGGCTTACTCAGGTTAAGCAGGAGGTAGGCTTCGTGTTAGTTTCCCCTCCAGCACACTACTGTACAATTTCATCCCAAACCATAGGAATCTTTGTTAGAAGGCACATCCAGGTGTCTCCAATCCAAGCCTCCCCCTAAAAGGAGGACTGTTGCTAACACCAGATCACACTGACACAGCTCTGTCTAGTTGAATCTTGAAAAATGCCAAGAATGGAGGTTTCACCGTCTCCTGTAGCAGCTGCTCAATTCTACGCTAACCTTGACATTAGGAAGGTTACGTTGCTTCCTTAGGAACATCCCATCTGTCAGAAATCACTGAGGAATAGCCACTCTCAGGATCTAAACTGAGGCACCTTCATCAAGGATGCAGATCACCACAGATTTATTATATCCAGTGGAAAGGGATCTTTAAGGATGGCAATCCAGACCAGGCTCAAGAGATCAGGTGCTGAGGTTAGAAGCCAGAGACAAAAACCATGGTCTACCCGCCACTTCCCATGAGACAAGTAGACTGGAGTGAATGGGAAGAGGGTTCCTTGGGGTGGGTTTAAGATCACACAATCGGTATCTATTAATTAGGCAAGTTGCCCCCTAATCAACGGATTTAATGAAGTTCTGCTTCTTAAGGCTCTTCCTTTCTCCTCTCCCACGATGGTAAGTCCTGTTTCTCCTCCACCTCACAGGCACAGACAGCAGACTCCTGCCACCAGGTCAAGGTCACTAAGGAGATGCAAGCGATGTCGGGCCAACCAGCACACACATATCGAGGTACCAGCAGAATGCTCTTTTTCATTTAGAGATAGCACTGATAAGCAGTTCCTAGCTAAGCATAACTCTGAAGTTAACACGGCAGTGAGAACAAGCACAGAAATTTTAACTCCTTGTAACAACTGCCTTAAGTTATCCCTAGAGAAGTTCTTCTAGACTAGGCTTGCACAAGGATTTCTTTTTCTAATAAAAAACTACCAAATCTAATTTCAGGAGAAGAGTGGTACATGTTAAACTTTGCGCATATCATGCATTGCACACACACAAAAAATTATATTTTAGATCTGTACCAAGACCTATTTTAAGAGAACACAGCTGCAGAGATACCCTCTTCTAAATCCCAAAGTTTCCTACTGTGATCAACTCAAATGCACAAGCACACAAAAACCCACAGCAGAGACCAACTTGCTGTTGCTTAACTCGCCCACTTCACCTTGGTTAACTTGCTCTCATAGTCAGAATACATTCATTCTGTCCACCTGCATTGGATTTTTTTTTTTTAATATATATAATGTAACTAGGAAGATGCAGGCAGAGACTCTTACGCGCTATCACAGTTCTTTGAATAAAAAA